TGACAACATAGAATGTCCCCAGACAGAGCCAATGTTTCCTGGAGGACAAAATCATCCCCAGAGGAGAAACATGGCCTCGTAGGGCAATCCTGGGGGTTGAGTAGGTGTTTCGAGACACATTCCTGGGCACAGGCTGGCACTGGGCCTGCCCAGGAGATGGTGGCTGCCGTCTGGCCACTGCGAGGCTGTGCCTTGGCTGCTGCTCCTTGTTCCTGGGCCTCGGCATCTTCTCTGGCCAGATGGGGTGGGCACAGCCCTGGGGTTCCTGGGAATTGCCGTACAGTGCTCAGGACACCACAAGAGCTCTACAACCAGAATTCTGAGGTTAGGGACAGTGGGAGTGTGGGGGAGGGGCTGGGTGTCCTCACCTTTGGCAGTGGCCCCAGGGGGCCTGGACCCTGCCCGCACCCAAGGGGACCCACAAGCACAGGCGCCCCCACCCGAGAGGGAGCTGGATCGGTCCCTCGGCCCCACTGGGCCATTTAATAATTAAGCCAGAGTAGGGGTGACAAGGGCTGAAAGGCCAGCAGCGACCAGGCCTGGCCTTGCTTGGCTCTGGTGACGCGATGGCCCTGGGATCATGGCCTTCTCGAGCCTATAAACAAGGGGTTGGGCCCCAAGACAGGCAAGGGAAGGCTAGGCCAAGGTCTGTGCTGCTGGCCTCCTGCTACGGTCACGCAGGGGTGGGATGCTCCCTGCTGGAGGGGGTGCTGTGGAGTGAGAGAGGAGTGAGGAGGAAAGCTCCTGCCTCCACCGAAACTGGGGGCATCCGGGCTTCTTCCTTCCCTCTCCCACCCGCTCTGAAGTCCCCCCTGGTTTACTGGGCATTTACTACACACAGGCTCTGCAGAGCACAACAGATCCCCTCCATCATGGGAGAGGCTCCGTCCTCCCCTGCGAGCCAGGCCCTGTCACCGTGATGCCCGAAGCCCAGGTGAGGAGCCGGAAGCTCCTAAAGTTGAGTCCCCAGGCCCTGGGCTCAGGCAGAGGCTCTGAGCTCTGGCTCTTGACTCCCAGGCCCCTCTCCTGTTGTTCCTCCTCCTCCCCATCTCTGTCTCTGTCTCTCTCTGTCTCTATTTTTAACTCATTTCCATTCTCTCTCCTTGCTCTCCAGGGTGCTCTCTCCCTGGCTCTCTCAGGCCATCTTCCTATTTGCTTTTTCTGTTTCTCTTTCTGTCTCTCCACCCCCTTCCCTCCTCCCTCTCTGTTTACGTCTCCCTCCATCTGTTCCTGCATTTCCTTTTCTACCCCCTGCCCCCATCTCCCTGGACTGCCCCACCTCTGTCTCTCTGCAGCCAGCCCTGTCCCCACGCCAGCACATTATGTCCCTGGTCAGACCCTGACGTCAGGCGGGGCCTGGCAGGCGGCCATGGGACTCTGCCGGGCAGGCAGGCGGACGGAGCGCACACTTCCCAGTCCCCGTGGCAGTGTGGCCACCTGCCCAGCCTGGGCACAGTGTGAGCTGCAGGTCTCCTGCCCTTGCCTTCGCTGGCCTCCTAGGAACTGGGGCTGCAGGCTGCCTGCCTTTTGCCTCCTCTTCCGCTAACTCACGGCCACAAGAGAGAGCCCCTGCCTCTGCTTGTCCCCAAGAGTGTGTGGGACAGTGCGGAGCCCTGCCCCTGTGGCCCTGACCAAGTCAGCCAGCCTCCCTGTAAAATGCACCACCCAGGCACCTGCCTCTCAGGTCTTCAGGGTGAGCCAACCCACCAAGCCCAGTGTCACCCAGCATCAAAGGCAGCGCCGCTCAAGGAGGGGCAGCAGAGCTGGGCACGCTGGGGTGTCACAGTGACGGGAACGTGGCTGGGGATTAGCGGGCAGGGACATGTGTGCCTCTGGGGATGCCAGGCAGAAAGAAGGCCCCACCCCCAACCCAAACAGGCCCCTGCTGAGAAACCCTTCCCAAGCTCATGGTCCCAGGGCTATCTGAGCTTAGATAAGTGGTTTTTAAAAAATGTAATATTTCTTGTTTGGTTTGTTTGGGATTTTACCCCTTGAATTTCAAAGCAAGGCAGTTTCCCTGAAGGACACCTCCCTGAACTTCCTGATTTTTTTTTTTGGTACCAGGGATCGAACTTGGGTCCTTGCGCTTGCGCAGCAGGTGGTGAAACCACTGAGCTAAATCCCCAGCCCATGCAGTGGACTTTTCTTCTTGTTTGTTTTGGTCTCATTTTAAGAGATTCAATCAAAGGACAAAAAAGAAGACAAGAAAAGTCACCCAGAGAACATTCTGGTTTTCATGGAAATCCAGCTCAGCTAACATAATCATATTGAGATCCTACTGTTGCCTGCTTTTTTGTGAAAAAAAAAAAAAAAAAGAAGCCTGACTTGTATTTGTATTTACAGTACCTTTGCTTATTATTATATGTGTTATGTACATGCACATTGGGAAGGCCCAGGGCATCCCTCCTGCCCTGCATCTGCTTCCCCTTCTTGCAAGCCAAGGGTTATTCATCATTGTTCCTCCTCTCTTTGGACACATGATTTCCAGCATCCTGTCCTGCCTCTCTTCATCTGTCATTGTTTTTCAGTCACTCAGTTATGTAGAGTGACCGAGTGAAAACTTAGAACCCACAACCAAGAGGAAGGAGAATGTAAGAATGCAGAATCAACAGGATCTCGCTCCCCGTGACCGATTTGGAGTGCATCTCGTGGCTCTCAGCACCGCTGCTCACCCTTGCAGCTCCGGGAGTCCTCCTTGGTGCTGATGGCAGCCTGTGATAGCGTCTGTGTCTGGTGCCATCTTCACCCGCCTTCCCCAGTGTGCAGCGAGTTCCCGGGGGCAGAGATGGCCACATCTGTCCCCACTCCCAGCAGCCCGCATGCACACAGTAGGTCCACACTGAATGAATGAATGAATGAATGAACGGTGGGTTTTCACAGGAACTATCCGATACACCATAGTATCCTCTGGCCTATTTTTTCACTCAATGTACCGGGTACATCTGTCCACTTCTCGACACAGGCAGCAAGCCCTGGCCTCTGATTCTCATGTCTGCACGGAGGCTTCGCAGTAAACATCTTTCTGATGTTGACCAGAAGCTGCTCCTGCCCCCAACTGGGAAGCTCCTTTTCAGATGCAGATCTGTTAATAAATGCCATGTGGTCCCCTGCACAGAGCCCTCTGGCTGTTTACAATTAGCCTGACACTTCACTGGTTACACGAGCCCATTGTTTTCCGAGACAAGTCAAGATTTACTGTCTGTCCTTGACATCGTGTTTTTCCAGAGTAGTTTAAAACTGAAGAACTCAGCCCTCCCTGCCCATTTCCACCAGTTAAAGGGCTGTAGATTCCCTGCAGTTGGGAAGCTCAGTGTAACCCTTATCTCCCTGGCTGTGTCACCACGGATGGCTCCAGTCCTTCCTACCCCAGGCCCTTTGCACTGGCTGCCTGGAATAGCTGCCCTTGGAGATTTGCTGCCTTGCTTCCTCACCTACTTTAGGGCCCTGCTCAAATGCCACCTCTCAACCATTTTTCCTAACGAACATCTCTGATCACTCACCCAGTTTTCATTTCTTCATAAGACATTGAGTCAGATCTTGATATATGATGCTATTATATATAAGATTTTGGGAGCTGTCTTTATCGTCCATCTCCCCCACTGTGAGGGCAGGGACCTATTTTCTTTTCCGCAGTGGCCCAGCACCTCAGATAGGGCGGGGAGCTGCACAGGAGCCCAGGTGTTGGGTGGAATCAACATCTCCTTCACAGCCTAGAGCCTGATGCCATCATAGGCTCACCCAAGATTCATTACTGCATGGCCTGACCTGCTGGGCACTAAGGCAGGCGTGTCTCTTCCCTGGGTCAGGGAGGCACAGCCACCGCGGGTCACCACTCCATGTTGGCCCCTGGCCTTGGAGAGGCAGCAAGAAGGGACCATGGGGCCTGCGGACAGAGTCTGACCTCACCCTTGCCGAGCTGGGTGAACCTAAAGGGACACTTGAGGGAGTGTGACTGTTGTCATCATTACTGCTCCTCTCTGTCCTCTTCCCTGTGTGGAGGTGGCAGAGCAGAGAGGAAGCCTTTCTGCTTCCTTGTGGTCCCAGCTGGACCTTTGCTGGGGAGCTGGCCTCTGACCTTCTCTCCGGCTGCCTGGCACCTCTCCCACAGCCTAAGGGACTCTCCTGCCTTTCTGGCCTTGGCACCCCAAGGGAGCCACCTGGAACTCGCTTTCCCAGCCTCCCTGCAGCTTGAGTGCAGGCATGTGACCTAGGCTTGGCTAAACAGATGTCCCTGCTCCGGGCCTCCAACTGGAAGAGCACAACAGGACAGCAGAGGTGTGGAGAGGACCCAGTTTTGGAATCCAGGTATAGAGAAGCCCTAGGTATGGGGCCCAGGTATAAGACTTGCTCCCAGAGAGTGCCATGGAGGGGTCACTGGGTCAAAGGTGGACCCATCTTGCTGATCAGGTTGGCTCTCATCAGGATTAGGGTTAGGGTTAGGGAATTGTGGAAGTGGCTATCTGGGGCTAGGAGAGTAGGTTTGCAAAACCAGAGACTTGGGTTCTTTTTTTCTTATTGCTCCACTTTGGCCCAAGATGGCTACTCAGATTCTGACTATCATATGTGCATTCCAGGCAGCAGGAAGGAGGATGGGAAAAAAGGTATCACTCCCCAAGGACAACAGTTGGAAGTTACTCATATCCTATTGGCCACAACTTAAGTCAGTGGACTTATCTAGCTGCAAGAGAGGCTAGGAAGTATAGTCCCTCCCCATCCCACGTGTGCACATGCCCAGCAAGAGCTTCAAATTTCTTATATTAAGAAAGAGAGAGAGAAATCTAAGAATTGAAGAGAATCAGGGTTCTCTAACACAGCAAGCAACAGTTTAAAATAATGTACAGGAAAATTTTGTAGTAACATGAAAACTATGATTTTTGTACAGTTTGGGAACAATGGGATTTGAAATTGTACACACAGCAAAATTATAACTTTTAATAAAATTTCAAAGCAGAGAAAGCTACTCAGGGCAAAACTGTTAGAAAATTAGCTTTTGCAAGTGATTCAATAAGAAATTTTATTTTTTTCTATTCTTTATTTAAAATTTTCCATCATTGAGCAAACTTAACTTCCCAAAGGAAAAAGCACTGTGAAGACAACACAGTCCCCTTGAGCTGTAGTTTGTGTCCTGTAAGCCTGTCCTTCAGTGTGCTAGATAGGGAAAGAAGAAATGAAATCATCTCTAGTCATAATTGTGAATAGAGAAAAATCTAAGGAAATGACAAAAAATGATCCAGGAAAGTAGAACTGGGAACTTATATCAGGTCCAAGTCACAGTTTTGCAAACCACAAAACTCTACCTTTCTGTATCTACACAATGGGATGCCTGGCAGCATCCACCTCTTCAGAATGAGGACTCGGGGGAGTTGTTTCACTTAAGTGGTGTCCATACATTCACCCACCCATCCACCCATCCACCCATCCATCCATCCACCCATCCACCCATATATTATCCATCCACCATCCATTCCATCCATCCATACACCCACCCATCCATCCTCTACACAAAGCAAGGGCTAAACCAGAAGTGTCTGTACCCAGGGAAGCTGTGACAAGGGCTGATAATGACTAGGCACTATGTTCAGCACACAGCAGGGATCCTTCATTCCGTCCTCTTGAAACCCCCGAGGCCAGCACTGCCATCACCTGTGTCAGAGATGAGGAGCCAGATCAGCCACGAACCCATGGCTCTCTGTACTAGCCCAAACGTTCTTGTTTGGTTCTGCAGTCCAAACCCGTGGGGAGCAGTGAAACCCCAGCTTCTGAGGGACCTCAGGGACCCAGTCAGATCAAGCTTGGTTCTAGAATCAAACAAAGCTTGGCTTGAATCTCAGCACCTCTATCTCTTGACTGCATGACCTGGAATCAGTGACTTTACCTCTCAGAACTTTGTCTTCTGAAGAAGGGTAGCATTAGTTCCTGTCTCACAGGATGGCCATGAGGATTCAGTGAAGTGCCCTGTGTCACAGACTGAGCATGGGGCCTAGTGTTTGTTCAGTAAGCACTCATTAAATGTTGTCTGTTATTTTTATTTTTTGGCACAGGGTTTGTGCACCTTTGTGTATGTTTGTACGTATGTGTGTGTTAAAGCTCCTTAACTGACTCTGATAAGCCCCACTATCCACCCACCCAGCCAACCATCATCCATCTATGCATGCAGCCCATTTACTTAACAGACACTATGAGTCCAGCTGGGCTTGAGGCTCTGAAGTCGCAGATGTAGTGAAGACACAGAGACTCTCATCTCATGGAACTGACATATTAACCCAGAGGAAAGACTAGAAAGCCATGGGTAGAAACTCCTGGAGACACAAATAGCTCATGGGATGGCATGGGATGAGGCTCCTCCTTCAGGTGATTCCTCTGTCCCTCCCCCTCTCCTTCCCATCTCCTGCCAGCCCGACCTTCTCCCCAGAGCAGGTGCCAGAAGACTCACCTCTTTAGCCATGTCTGGCATGACAGTTGAGTGCTCCAGGTAGCTAAGGCCAAGTCTTTTGTGTCTTGGTGTCCTCAGAGCCCAGGTCTGGCCCGTCAGAGGTACAGGCTGACATGTACCAATGAGCCAGATGATTACTGAATGTGCACTGCCTGCCTCGGTCCGTGTTGACTTCTGTCCCTCTCACCAGCACAGTAGAGAAGGACTTTGTCTCCTTTATCTTTGCTCTCCAGCTCTGATACTGCCAGGCATATGGGACGCACCATGAAACACATGGAATTGATAAATGGGCCTTTCTTCCCACCCATCTTACCTGTGTCTCCCAATGGACTGGAAGTCTGCGGTCCAGAACCAAGTCTTACTTGCTTCTAGTTCCTCTGATGCCAGCACAGAGTTTGGGATTAAGAAAGCTTTGTAGTTGTTTATTGGATGGATAGGAGGATCCTTGGATGGATGGAAGGATGGGTGGATGGAAGGATGGATAGATGGGAGGGTTGGAGGATGGGAGGACAGATGTATGGTTGTATGGATGGCAGGATGAGAGGAAGGGTAGATGGATGATGGATGGATGGGCAGGTGGGAGGATGGATGGATGGAGAATGTCTGTATTGATGGACCAATGGAGGAATGAAGGAAGGTTGGATACAGTGAATAAATAGGACAGATAGAAGGAAGTATGGGTGGCTGGATAGAAAAACTATCACAGGATGTGAATCTGGGAAATACTGCTTTTCATTACACACACATAGTCATCATTTTAGAAAGTTAAAATCATTTGAGAACAACAAGAAACAAGGCCAGAAAATAACTCAGATAGAGTTTTTATTAGCGAGATATTTGGGAGAAAAAAAATATGAGAAAGAAGGGCCCCAGAGCCTCTGATCCTCTCAAGCTGACGCCCCCTAGCAGAGGGACTGTGGGGTATGGAGCATCACAGCTAAGAATGGCCGGGGTGCAAAGAGAGTGAGAACTAGGGTTCCCGGCAGCAGGGAAGATGGGGAGGCCATTCCTGAAGGGGGCAGGTCTTGGCCTGAGCCTGAGAAAGTGTAGAGGGTGCTCAGGGAGCGCTGGCTCCCCTTCCCTCCCTGGCTGGCTGGGCTGCAGATGCAGCAGGCTGCGCTCCGGTGAAGGCCTCACCAAGACCTCCCAACCCAGCAGTTCTCCTTGGGGGCAGCAGGGGGGCAGCCAGGATTCAAACCACCCCTCCTAAATCAAATAACTCCCCAGCCAGAAGCAAAATGAACCTCGAGTCTTGGGGACTGTCCCTTAGGCACCAAGGTTCATCAGTGACATTGAAGTTGTTTGTGCCAATGTGTTCCGTTTTCCTGGGCAGCGCCATGCACAGAAGAAAACAGCCCAGCTGACATGACTTATGGTGGTGGTGGCCTTGGAGGTCTGTAGCTGAAGATGGGGTCAAGTCAGGGCCAGGTCCCCCAGAATCTTGCAGGCCCTGCAAGGACAGGGGTTTGACTGAAGGGCCATGTGGAGGGCGTGAACCGCACTCAGATGGATCTGAGGGAGCGGGGTAAATGTCATAGACACAGATCCTGCCTTCCTGGGTCAGAAGGGATGCAAGTACTAACTCAAAGATTCACACATTGCAATGCAAACAGTGGCAAGCAACATGAGGGAGGGCTTCTCCAAGGAGGGGACCCAGCAGCAGCCAGCCTCATCCTCCATTCAGCCAATATTTACTGAGCACCTACTAAATGTCAGGAGCTGAGCTGGGTGCAGGGTTCCAGGGTGAGCCAGGCAGTCAGCCCTGCCCCTCAGGAGCTGAGGCTCCCATGGGGGACATAAGAGCACCAGGGAATCACAGCTCTGAGGGGGAGTGTAGCCGTGGACAGAGGGGCTTCCCACGGAGGGATGAGCAGGAGCCAGGTGGAAGCGGGACGGTGCGTGGCAGGAGGACAGCAGCGGGGCTGCGGGAGAAAGGGCCCTGGCTTGAAGAAGGTCAAGACCCACTGGGAGGGGATGTGAGGTCACAGGAAGTCCCTGTCTCTCTGTTTCTGTCTCTTTGTCCCTCTCGGTGCGTCCTTGTCCTGCCTCCTCTCTCCGTGTCTCCATGTGTGTGTCTGTCAGGGCCCCATTGTCCCTCTGGTCCCCTCTGGGCCACTCTCAGCCCCTCGCTTCCTCATGGTCTGATTCGCCCTTGCCCTGGTCATTTGCTGAGAGGTCGGTAAGAGACAAGGGTACCAGGAGAAATGCCTGGCGGGTGGGCAGAAAGCAAAGTCAGGGGACACAGGGACAGCTGAGCACAGGGACAGGGGGTGACTGAATGTTCTGTTTTGGAAAGACAGCTTGGTCAGGGCCAAAGGTGGCTGACCACGAAACCTGATAACCTGGCCAGACTCTGCCCCGAGGGACCTCTGGCCAGCAGCCCACAGTTGGCGGGGGCTGGGCAGAGTTTCCCGAGGGAGGTAAGGGGAATGTCGAGGGGCCTGGGGACCAACAGGATGGGATGCAAGTGAGCGAGCTCTCAGGGGAGGCCTTTGTCGGCTTAAAACAGAAGGCCCTGTTTATCTCCGTGTGCTTTTCAAGGGTTCCACGGGTTGTAAGCACGAACTGAGGTCCCTGCTGCTCTCTCACGCTGGGCGCTGTGATTTAAGATGGTGGACACTGGAGCCAGAATGCCTGGGCCCTGTGACCTTGCACAAGATCCTTAGCCTTTTCCTCTCTGTGGGAAACGGAAGGAGAACAGCACCTCATCCCTTTGGGTGAGAGAGATCAGTATTGGTTAAGATGCGTAAAGTGCTAGAATGAGGCCTGGTGCATAGTAGGTGCTCAACAAAGTACAAATTATTGCTACTTCCGCTGTGCAATAGAAACACTGGGCCGAGCAGGCACAGGAGTTGGGTTCAGACCCTCGCCCCACCTCTTCCTGGCTCTGTGACCTCGGCCAGGCCTCGACACCTCTCTGGGCCTTAGTGAAGGTGACCTCAGGGGTCACTGGGCTCTTCCTGGCCTGGGAGGAGCCAGGGGAAAGAGTGTGTCACCCCAGTCCTGACAATGGCCTGTGGAGCCAGACTCATCAGCCCCTCTCTCCGAGGTGGTAGCTGAGGCCAGCAAGGGGAAGGTGCTGCCGGGCACAAGCGTCTCTGGCCTGGATCTGACCTGCTCTCACAGCCCCGCCACCACCCACTTCTCCCTCGGTGTCCCCAGGGCCTGCCTGGCACTGGGCTCACTCAGGGGCTCTGGCTGTGCCAGACAGAACCCTAAGCCTGCAGAGCTGGGCCCACCCAGGGGTGCCTTCCCCATTGCCTCTCCCGTCCTCCACCCACTCCTTGTTTTGTCCCAGGTAAGAAAATGCCATGTGGCCATTGAGCCCCTGGCAAACCCCCGCCACCAAGCTGGGAAGTAGGTGACCAGCCCAGTAGTATGGCAGACTAGCAGGCCAGCATGGGAGCCAGAGACAAAGGAGACTCCTGCAGGCAGTGGATGGCACAAGAGGAGAGCAGGGTGACAGTGTTTCTGGGGGGAGCAGCAGGTGGCAAGGTGTGACAGAGAGAGCCTAGAACATCCTGCTGTCCTGGTTTCCGGCCTGAGCACCCGCAAGCCTGGGCTCCCTGCAGGACAGGAGCCCTTGAGGGCAGCTCAGTGTGGCATAGCTTGGGGGCACTGCTTCCTGGCACTGCTGCAGGGATAGCACTGCAGAGTGACCACAGGACCCCTTTCCTGTCATCAGCACTGCCACTGACTTAGGGAGCTCTGAGCAGCACATCACTCCCCAAGCCTCAGTTTCCCTATGTGGGATGACAGCACCTCTGGCGACTGGTGAGCTCATGCCGTTGAAACGCCTGGCGTCCAGTGGGTGCTTGGTCAGAGCTGGCCTGGCCCCATCTGCCCCCCAGGGCACCATGTCGTGAGTATTATTTTTAACTGTGGCTCTCTGGCCCCTGGCCAGGCTCTGAAGGCCTCCACAGGAAGACCACAGCTCGAGCAAGGGCCCAGCTCCCTTGCCACCTGGAGATCAACTTCAGGGAGGCTCTGCCCGGTAACCCTGTGTACAAAACCATGTGGTACCACCGATGCTGTTTGTAAACAGTGCTGACCTTTCCTGAGCAGGCCGGGGGGAGCTGTGCCAGGTGCCCACCCCCACCCAGGAACTGCGGGGACCCCGGCCAGCTGGGGGACAGAGCCAGGTGCTGGGCCCACCAGCCCCGGCCTGTCAGTTTCAACACCTCTGAGCACCTCGACACCGAGCAGCCCAGGGTATTTTTAAACCCTGGCCTTGGCCAACCTCTGGCACATTCCAGGCAGGCTTGGATTTAGTGTATGTCCCAGTGAGGGTAAACGGGAGCTTTGAGGTTCATTGAACAACAAACATTTCATCAAATTCCAGGACCGGCGCACCTACTGTGTGCCAGGCCCTGATGTAGGAGAGGTCCCCAGGGCTGCCTCCTAGTACCTGTCCTCAGAGTGCTCACACCTGACCTCGAACCCTAAGATGGCAACTGCAGCTCACACACGGCGGGGCCCGGGACCTGGGAGCCCGGGAAGCAGCCAGGGAGACTTGGGATGGCTGGGGACCGGGGTTCTCACAAGCTCAAGTCCTGTCTGCCGGGAGGCGTCTGTGGCCACGCAGGAATCGGCCCAGTGCCCAGGGAAGCTGCACATCTAGGTTTATGGGAGATTTTGTGAAAAAAAAAAAAAAGTCCTGACTTTTAAATATTGGCAATGAAATTTTTACAATGTTAAAAACATTCTGGGAGCCAAAGGAAGCCGCCTGGGGACTGGACTCGGCCCTCAGAGTTGAGGGCCTGACATAAGCCGCCATGCTCTGGCTGCAGGCACACGCAGAGCAGGAGTTGCAAGTGCGCAGCACACCTACTGTGTGCCCCTCTGCCACTCTGGGCTGCAGGGAGGGGCGGAGCGAGGATGGAGGCCATGTCCCAGTGTCCCGTCTTGGCTGGGCCGGCTCCTCCTGGCCTCAGTCTGCAGGCTAATTGCTATGTGCAGCCTCCATTAAACATTCCATTATTTGAACTTGAAATTAAATAAATTATAATAAAAACAAAGGTAACACTGCTCCAAACTCATCACTGTAATTTACTGCTGTCTGTGCCCTCAGGGACTCACGGGTGTTGTGTCTTGTTGTAGCCTGCATCGTGCTCAGCGGAAATGGCGCATTTGGCCCTGTCCGGATATTCAGGGGAGCCACTGAGGCGGGAATGTCTCCATCACAGGCCTGGTGACTGGGATCTCTATTGGCAAGGGGCGAACCAGGTAAAAACAAACGCATTGATAAACGTTTAACCTGCCAGAGGGTGACCACTACCATGAGGGAAAATAAAGGGGGCAGCCATGAAGGAGCAGAGTGCCAAGATGGACAGGTCAGGGAAGGCTTCTCCCAGGAGGTGAGGTATGAGAGTCTCGAAGACTTGAGGAAGTGAGGGAGGGACAGATAGCTGGCAGGAGAAACTTCAGCCAGAAACATGGAGTTTCTGCATGGAGGCAGGAACTAGCTCACTGGTTCAGGAATCAGGAGACAAGTGTGGCAGGAACACAGTGGAGTGAGGAGAGATGAGGCTGGGGAAGTGGGAAAGGGTCAGATCATACAAGGTCTTACAAGGTATAGTGAGGAGGAGGATTTTTATTTTAGAAGAGGTGGGGAGTCCTGGGGATTCTGTGGAGGGGCATGAGAAGACTTCATAGGTCTTTTGAAATATTAGCTCTGACTGTGTGGGTACAGTGGAGAAATGCTGGAAGGCTGAGCACCAGGGAGGAGAAGCTGACTGTCACAGTCTGAGTAGGTGAGGACAACGGCACCTGCAGGGTGTCGGAAGCTATGAAAGTGGCAGCAAGGACATGGACTTGGGATGAGCAGTGGTCCCTTAGTATCCGTGGTGGGTTGGCGCAGGGTCCCCCTTGGATGCCAACACCCAAGGATGCGCGAGTCCCTCAGGTAAAATGATGTCGTGTTTGCAAAGAAGTTGCTCACATTGTCCCGTGCACTGCACTCCTGCCCCGGTGTGAGCACTGTGTGAGTAGCTGTCGTGGTTGTTCAGGGAATGGTGACCAGAGAAAAATCGGTGGACATTCAATGCAAACACAAATATTTAAAACCACTTCTGACCTGAGGTTGGTTGAATCCACGGATGTGGAACCCACGGGTGGCTGTCCAAGCAGCAGGACTCGCGATGGAAGGGGGTGTGGAGCGACAGAAAAGTGCCACCCACAGTGTGCCCTGAGCACCCTGGGGGGTGCCGTGCCACTTCCTGTGCAGGCAGGACCCACGGGCCCAACTGGAGCTTCAGGAAGAAATGAACTGGGGCTCTACTCCGAGGAGTGTGAGATCGCGGTGACACCTGGCGGAGGCGCTCACCAGGCCGCTGTGCAGTCGGGCACAAAGTGCATGTGGACACCACGTCCCTCCCATCACAGCAACGTGGGGGCAGTGCCGTGTGGAGGCCTCTGTGTCCACGGTGAACGCAGGTGGAGAAGGGAGGAAAGGGAGGGGTCGGCGTGGCTGGAACAGCAGGGCAAGGCCTGGGGACAGGGAAAACGTGCTGTCTCTCCCCGAGCCTCCTCCACCTCTTCTTTTGTGGGGCTAGGAATGGAACCCAGGGCCTCTTGCATGCTAAGCACACATCCCACCACTGAGACACTCACCAGCCAGGAGGACAGGCAGGGTCCAGGGACCGAGCAGAAAGCTAAGCAAGCAGAGGGCGGATCACAGAAGGCTGCTTCCGCCAGCCCGAGGAGGCTGAGGTGGACCCTCAGGGCAGCGGGTGAGTTGTCAGCAGGTGCAGGCCTCGAGGGTCACTTTAGCAAGGAAAGGCTTCGACGACTTCCGGTCTTCGGCTGCCCGGTGGACAAGCCCTTACTCATACCCCAAAACACCCTCTGAGCCAGCCCGCAGCCTGTGCCAAGCCAGCTAGTTTCTTGGAGATTTCTTTTTTTTTTGCAAATGAACCAGGAAAACAAAAGGGGAGGGAAGAGGGTCAAGGGAATATTCCACAAGCTTTGTTTGTTTCTGGATTCCCAGCATCAGGACTGGCCTCAAGGTCACTCCAGGGATGGGAGGGTAACTGAAGTGACCACGCATGGCATGGGCTTGAGTGTTTACTGGGCCAGTACCCTGTTCTCTTGGGAGGGGAGATGGAGGGCAGCTCTCTGGCCTGGCCCTGGGATAAAAAGCTGACCTTTCCCCTTTGGGCTTTTCTACTACGGACCTGCTGTGTGGCCTTGGGTGAGCCATTTGTCTCTCTCAACCTCAATTTTCCTATCTGTACAGAGAGACAGTGATGGCACCTCAAAGAAAGACCCTCCATCATTTGGCCTTTGGAATTGCCAGGAAATGAAGAGAGATAAAACACAGCAGTAACACACCCAGGGCCTGGCACCGGCCAAACTCCCAGTAAGTGTCAGCTGTCAGTGGTCACCCGCAAAGTCATGGTTAATTATTGTGCACTTGCTGTGAGCCAGCCAGGCTTTGGGCCACATGTGTTCCTTTAGGCTCCATCCCCTCTGTGTAAGGACTATTACTGTTGTTCTTTTATTTTGCCGTACTGGAGATTGAACCCAGGGCGCCCTGAGCTATGTCCCCAGCTCATTTCATAGTCCGACAGGGTCTTCTAAGTAGCCTGGGCTGGTCTTGAACTTTCGATCCTCCCACCTCAGGCTCTTGAGGAGCAGGATACACAGGTGTGCACTATCATGCCTGGCTCAAGCGAGGACTATTGTCAACTCCATTTTACAGGCAGGGAAACTGAGCTTGTAAGGGTGACCTGGCTTGGCAGAGGGAATACTGCTCAGAGGGACACAGCTGTGGTTAGAACCCACGTCTCCTTGAAACCTGCTCCTCACTGTGTCCCGCCTGCCTACAGATGAGTCTGGCTCCAGAAACTGGGACAATAGTGCTCTGCGTGGACCTCAGGTCCCTCCTGGAGCCGACAGCTCGGGCTGTAGCCTCGGCCTGGGTGTAGACAGGACACAGATGGGTTGCTCAGAAAGCCAGGGGCCCAGAGAAGCAGGGCCATCCTGCGCCAGCCCCGGCCTTCCTCTTAAATTCGGAGCCCAGCCTGGTACCCATGTCATCAATAATCGCGCCCAAAAATAGTTCACTGGGCCAGCCAGGGTGGAGAGCCGGGACGTCCTGTTCCCGTGGGCTCTGGCCAGAGTGACCGTGCACTTGGCCTTCCCAGTCTGAGGCTGCTGGAGGGGAGGGCCGAGCTCACCCCGCCCGAGGTTCATCTGTGGGAACGCGCCAGGCTCCCAGGCACCAGCACCCCAGCCTCGGGCACCAAGCAGCTTCCGGAATTCGCAGCTGGTGAGGCAGAGGGCTGCCCACGGGCTGGGCCAGTGTCCTAGCAATCTCCAGGGAGGCCAAGAGCATTGGCTCTGGAGTCTGACAGAGGCGGGGTCAAATCCCAACTCCAGCATTTCCTACCTGTGTGACTGTGGAAAAGACACGTTTCCTCTCTGCACTTTGGGATTCTCACCTGGAAAACGGGGATAAATATTTTATATTGCGGTTGTGGTATAGATGAAAGTTTACGTATACAAGGGACAGTTTGTACACTCTGCAGCTTTATTTATTATCTGCCCCTCCCCTCCCCACCTTGAAATCTGAGCTCCACCAGAGAGATCTTTGCCCATTGTTTACAGCAAGATTCCAGGACCATGTGGCAGGAGAGGGACTCAATGATCCGTGTTGAATGAATGAATTAATTAATGGAATGAAAACCTTCGGCCCCCCAGGCAAGTGCTCCAAACCTCTCAGCAACTCTTACAGCACTACCCTGTGCATTCTAGAAAGGCTTGAGCAGGAATGTGATTTTCGAATTATCCCGATGAGGAGGCAGTTCAAGTGCATCAGGAAGGACAGAATTAGACCCCAGAGGATGGCAGGGCTGTGCAGGTTCCCCCGGGGAGCACGGGAGCCAGGGCCGAGCACTGGAGCTCCTGGCTGAAGGTGGCAGGGGAGCTGCTGGCCAGCCCGACCTCCTAGGAGCCAGGGGCTCCTCCCTGGACCCTCAGCAGTCCCAGCTTGATGTGGCCACTGAGAAGTGGGGAGGACCCTGGGACTCAGGGCTGGGTTTCCCACGGAAACAGCAGTGACATGGCTCACACTCACACACCCTCCTGAGGCCAGCCCCGTCCCGCACCTGCTCTGACGCACCGAGTCCTCAGAACCTTCGGAGACGGGCGCTGTCATTTCTCCCGTCTTACAGATGAGGCACTGAAGCCCTGATCGCCAGTGTAGGTCACCCAAGGTCACAGAGACAGTGAGTGGCCGAGTCCGAGATGCCCAACTCTCCCCTCCTCCCAGTGTGGGCCACATGGAGCCACATCAGTTCTGTGAGAACTCGTCCCCTCTCACCAGGGTCCCTGGATGTCCCAGGGAAGCCCTCTGCCTGCCCTTTCACTGGGCTCCTCCTTGAGCCTCCCCTGAGCCCTGCTCTGTTGTCCCAGCTCCTTCTCCAGCTCTGACCCCTTGGCCTTCGTCTTATAAAGTCCTTGGAAGAGACTGGGCCCACCAGATAATCCAGTTCATCTTCCTGTTCCAAGGTCCTTCATTTAGTCACATCTGTAAGGCCCCTTTGCCATGCCAAGTGACATATTCACAAACTCCACGGGTTAGGGTGCTGACACATTTGGGGGCAATAACTCTCCCCATCACAGGAGCAGAGCCAGCTCCTGGCCTTCCCTGAGAGCACCGGGTTGGGGCTGGATGGAGGAGGCCAGTGTGGGGCCAGGAGAGCTGGGGGCCTCGACATTCTGGTTTTCATGTGACATCTCCGATTTTTTTAATGCTAGCAAATAATGCAAAATTAAGAGAAGGACATAAATACACACACACACTTACAGTCAGGTGAGGCCCATGGGCTGCAGGTCTGTGTTTGTCACTCACCAGGGAGCGAGGAGAGAGCTCACTGAACCTTCCCCGGGCCCAAGGAAGGGTGACAGGGAGGGGAACCCTGTGCCCACTGTGCCAGGTGGAAGACGCCCGGGCAGGGTGTGCTTAAGAAGGGAATAGCAGACTTCCACGGGTGCAGGGAGGCCGTGCGGCCTTGGATGAGTTCCTGGCCTCCCTGTACCTTTTCTCACAGAGGAGGGGGCTCCGCAGAGCTTCCGTGCTCATTATGGCACTGCCCTGGTCCTGGGGGCTCAGAGGTCCCAAAGCAAAGCAAGACCCCCACCCCAAGGGCACAGGGACAGTCCGTGGAGGTCTGGAGCTGTCTGTCCCTCTGCTGCCTGCGCCTTGTCGTGAAGGAGCTGTGGCTCGTGACTTTTGCTCACTTACTGAGCGCTGACCGAAAGCCTCTTGCTTGGTGCTGTTATGGCCGGAGGCCAGGACACAGGGCTAACACAGTTGGGAAGTGCAGAGCTGGGGGAACCGCTGGCCCAGGACTCTTCTCTCGGCCCCTCTGCCTTGGCCTTGAGCGGATCGGTAGCCAGCAAGGCGCCCGGAGTGGCTCGGAGGAAGCGTTCCCTGCCCTGTGGGACTAGGCCTGAGCTTGCTTTCCTGGCTCCTGATCTTGTGGGTTGTGTGGCCCGAGGAGAGATGTCACATGGGTTCCCCCTCGTCTTTCTGCACTCAAGGTCTGGCTTTCCTTGATGTCCCCTCACTCCTGGGTGGTTATCCAAGGCTAGTGTCCATCTTGAGCACCCACTGTGTGCCAGGCACAGCCTCATTTAACCCTTAACAACCCTGTGAGGCAGGTGCTAGGGCAGATGAGGAAACCGAGGCTGGACAGAGCTGTCTCCTGCCCGGCGTCACACAGCCAGAGCCATGTGCCACCTCTGTCCCCACTGCTGGCAAGGAGACGGTTCAGGCTCCTCCAAGAGCTTCTCACTCCTGCTGCCCAGCTGGTGCCTGGCCAAAGCCCAGAGGCCTCCGTTTTCCCAGAAGTCCCCAGTTTGGCGGCTTCTTTTGGGGATCTGGCGGCTGAGTTCCAAATGCATTCAGAGACCCTTTCCAAGACGCTCTTCCCACCTCCAAACCCAGGGAGCTGTGGAAGTGTTATCTTCCTCCGCTGTGGGCACTTATTGTTGGAAAGGTGAGAAGGAGGTCAGTGGTGGGCACTGGTGGCCAGGCTCAGAGGAGGCCTTAGGGTTCCAAATTGCAAAGGCCAAGGGAGGCCTGGCCAGGACCGGGAGCCGCCCAGTCAGATTCACCCGTCCTTATCAGCACTGTGGTGGAATCAAAGCCAGCCCTGGCTGTTTATTGGCTTTCCTACCTTTTGGACAGAGAGAGATCAAAGGTGAAATCAAGGCCACTGTTCTGCACACCTCCTCCCTTCTTCCTTTCTTTTCCTTTCCTTTTGGAAGCCTGAGCACTAAAAGGCTTAAGTTTGAGGGGGAGTGTTTTTGTCCCCAGCCAAGGTGACAGCAGAAATCGAACCTCTGACGTCCCGAGTCTCTGCCATGTCCAGTAGTTTGCTGGGCTGTAGAGTTCAGGGGGTGCAGTGAGCGCAGTGGACAGACAGACGCAGAGGCTCACAGGCAGCCGGGCAGGAGACCATAGGGAGCGGTGGGGACTGCAGCACTGGAGACCCCCAGAATCACCCTGCTGCCTTGCGAAAAATGAGGGCCCAGTGTGGCCAGGCTTTGGGGACAAGCTGGAATGCCAGATGTTTCATGTGGAATCCCTGGTGATATATACAGGCTAGGAGATGAGAGTCTGTTTTTATTCTTTGCTGATGCTGTGCTGTGCTGACATCTTGAATTAAATATTCTGTTTTCCCAGTGGGTTGCAATACTGCCTTTGTCCTAATTCTTCCTTCCGGTCTCCTACTGCATACTTTTCTTTGTGAACTTGAAGATTATTTTATCTAATTTAAAAAAAAAAATCCTGTGAGCCACTACTTGAAATTGAATTAAGTTGATCTCTATAGGAAGAATTGTCATTTTAAGGATGTGAAATCCATTCTGAGAGGCTAAGAAAGGAAGATCTCAAGTTTGAACCCAACCTGGGCAACATAGCAATTTAGTAAGATCTTGTCTCAAAATTTAAAAAAAAATTTTTTTTTTTAAGTCTGGGCATATAGCTCAGTGTGAAGGCCTTGGGTTCATCCACCAGTACAACAACAACTAAATAAATAAATAAAATTAAAATTAAATGGATGTGAAATCTACCTGTCCACAGGCCAGGGATTTAGCTCAGTGGTTCCGTTGCCTGCCTTGCAAGCACAAGGTTCTGAGTTCAATCCCAGGTACAAAAAAAAAAAAATCTACCTGTCCATTTTTCCTCATCTTATTTTATGCATTTTGGGACAATATTGTTGTTGTTGTTTTCTTCTGAAATCTCTCGACTTTTAAAGTGATGGCAAAATTTCAAGCTGTTAGAACTGTGTGGGCCACGTACCCCACCCATGCTGGGCTGTGTTTGCCCCAGGGCTCCCTGGTGTCCCCTGGGTACCCTCACCCCGTGGAGCGGCTGTGTGCTCTGTTACTCAGAGATAACCCGTCCCAGGCAGGGAGATCTCAGGACAGAGAGCTCCGCCCAGCCTGGCGGGGGAGCCTGGCTGTTGGTGCCTGACCCTCTGCCCACTTCCTCCACTCCCCAGATGAGCAGCCAGCCCCATCCCACAGGGCTCCACCAGCTCATTTCTGAAGAGCTCTCAAAAGGCAAAAAGAAAAAAAAAACCCAGGCCAATTGCTTTTCATGAAGCAAAGCAAAATTTTAAAGTAATGAGTCAAAGAGTAGCCACCGAGCCCCTGCATCAGGGGCCCTCAGCTCTGAGCTGCAAGCCGAGAGTCCAGAAAGTAGGGTGCCTTCAGGTGAGGCCAGCACTAGAAGAGAAGTCAGGTGACCAGGTGGGTGAGTTGGGGCCCTGGGAGGAGCCTGCAGGGTAGGGGATGTTTGCTGGGAGGGGAACAATGAGAGCAACACAGCCAGAGGACCCCTTTTTCTCTGTGACCCTGACAGCCGGAAAACCACTGTGATATTGAGGCACACAGCCTGCCAGAACTGTTCACCTAATTCTGTCTTACACTTATGTGTTTTGTTTTATTTAATTTGTATTTTATATGTTTCCATTTCCTAAGAAACATAGCCACGTAGTATTTTGTGAACCGCCTGCTCTGCCTAGACGAAGCCTCACTTTCCCCACCTGGAAAATGCAAATGGTCTCAGTAGCCACCCCTGTGACAGTGCAGACTTAGCCAGATGTGAAGACTTAACAAGAAAATGACCTGTGGAACTCCAAGGCCCAAAGATTAGCCAGTATCAGCATATTTTAATTATCATTTTTATTGTAGTTTTTAATTAGTCCCCAGGGTAGGGATTAGCATTTCCATTTTGCAGGTGAAAGTCTAAGGCACAGAGAGTCAGACCCCAGGGCTGAGCTCTAGCTGCTCAGAGATGATAGGGCATCATCCTCCAGAGCCCCACCCCAAGGAGCGGAAGCGGAGGCTGCAACCACGGGGTTCTCTTCCGGTGGTTATTTTTTTCTTCTCTGTGATGCTGTTTGGTTTTGTGCATGTCGCACTTATCTGATGTCACAGGTTTTGGGAACCCAAACCACAGACATAAATATGCTGTGTTCTTTGGAGTCCCTTGGCGAGATAAGGGAGTGTGACACTGGGGATTATGGCGTTCGTGGACCCAGGGCTTGTTTCTGAGGAACTAAGAGAGTCAGGGTTTGTGCTCAGGTCCAAAGTCCTCAGGATCTTTGGTGTGACCCAGACCACAGTGGCCTGGACCACGCTGGGGGTGCAGAGAGGTTCACACCCTCTGTAGTGCATCCCCAAAGTGCAGGGTGGGGAATCTGCCGGCAACACAGCACCCCAGCGCAGCACCCGAGGATGCCTCAGAGAGGCCAGTGGAGGAGCGGGCATGTCGGGTACCTGTGTCTTCTGCCTGATTCTCGTTAACCTGAAAATCCTGTTTGGTTTTCCTGCGCTTCTTGAGAATGTCACTCAACCCAATGAATCCTTTCTGTGACCTAAGCATCATGAGACCTGCAATACTCAGCTTCCTGCTTCCACCTTGGCCCCTACGCAAACTGTTATCCACACCCAGTCACAAGGATCCTGTGGAAACCTGTCAGGGTACGTCTGTCCACCACTCAAAACCCTCCTGTGGGTCCCACTTCACTCAGCGGGGAAGCCAAGCACTTCCTGGGGCCTCCTCCATCTTGCATGAATGGTATCAGTCTCCCCAAAGCCCCTTTCCTTCTCAGGGTCTTTGCTGCTCTCAAACTTTATTCTAATGCCTTCCTAATGGAGAGCCTGACCTTGGTCCCAATTTGCAAAAACAATTATCCTTTTACCCTGTTTGATTTTTCTTCCTAGCTCTTTGTCACTCCCTGACATGTTGGAAATTTATTATTTTGTTTATTGCTGCTAGACCTAAATACCCACAGACTTGCTCTTTCTCGCGTGCGTGGCACATGGAATGAGTGCAATAATTTCTTCCTGTGCAGGATAAATGAAGCATCCTGGCGTCAGCTACTCAGACCAAGGCTCAGGTTTGTAGGGCAGTGAGAATCTGGAAGGATCTTGGGCTGGGGTTTATCGCACCGGTGTAGCTCGGGGGAGCTGCGCGGGGTAGGCAAGACCCAGGAGTGTCACATGGCACAGGGGCCCCTGGATGAAGGCCTCCTTCCGAGGGGGCGCTTCAGGGGGAAATCAGGGAGTATTTGTACAGGGATTGGCACCTGCTTGGCACCTAGGAAGTGCCCAGCCGGGGTCATCATCAGTATTGATGACAAGGGCACTAATGCTGAGGTAGGAAAGAGGGCAGCTAGGGCGGGGCTGGGGCCCAGGGTGTTTGGGGCTCAGTGAGGTGCCCGAGTGAGCACAGCCAGTTGGCAGCCGGAGGCAGGAGAGGTCAAGGCTCAGCTACAGACCCAGGGGCCACTGGTGCTGTGGTGGTGGGTGGACCCTCAAGACCCCAGAGACCCACACTGAGAAAGAAAATCTGGACAGACCCTTGAGGAGCCCAGAAGGAAGATGGAAGGAAGGAGCAGGAAGGGGAACCCATGGATAGGACCACAGAGGATGCAGGGGCTGGAGAGCGGCACCCTGTCTCATGCAGTCCCTCCTGCCTGGGGCAGAGATCTGTTCCACATTGTGACTCACCTCAGCCATGTCCTTTGCTCTTGCCGGTAGGATGAGATGAAGTGACAAATCATCAATCTGAGATGAAGTTGCCAGAGACCTGTGTGATTCCACATGCCTCTCGGTCCCTGCCACCATGATGGATAGATGTGCCCGGCATGGCCCACTGGCCCCAGGAGAAGGACGAGGGCATGAGGGACAGTGATGAGCCCGGCCCACTGTGGCTTCCACCTGAGCAGGAAGTAGGTCAAAGGGTCCCCAAACCACAGAGCCACACAGGGAGGCCCAGCCAGGCGCTCGGACCCCTGGCCAAGGTGGGAGTGAGGTGGCAGTGAACTGAGAGAAGGGACAGTGAACAAACCCTGGTGTCAGAGGGGCATCAAGCCCTGCTGCCACCCTGGTCCACTCTTCTCCTGGAAGGAGGCCCCTCTTCGGTTTGAGGGGACATCAGCACCTGGATTAAAGGAAGGGACCCCTCCAAGTGCTGTCCTAGGACAGAAGACCATGCAGGATGATGGCAGAGGGGATGCAGGAAGCAAACTCGCATCTTCCATGATGTTCCTGAGCTGTTGCACTTGTGAGGCCTGCCCACCCTGCCCCCTCCTTTCTCCTGGTTTGTGGATTCCATCCTACTTGGGATGGCCAGGGCCAGCTAGAGGGACTCAGTCCTAGGCTCCCTGGTGGTCAGGAGTGGCCCTGGGATCTGGGTAGGACCAGAACAGTTACTGCACATTTCCCAAGGGGACTTCTGGGAAGCTTTTTGACAAGAGACAGACCTGGTGGGTGGCCGCTCCCCTTGACTGAAGGGGGAATGTGGGCTAAATGTGGGATGGCCACTGTGTCCGCAGGACCAGCCACGAGGACAAAAGTCGCCTATTCAGGATGGCTGAGCAAAAACGAGGAAAGACCCCTCGCTCCTGGTGGATCAGAGCCGCCCCATCAGCCCTGTGAGCCCCTGGATCCTTAGGAGCTAGGGGTGAAGGTCAAGGGCAGCCCAGCCAGCGAGCAGGCTGGATTGGTGTTCCTCAAAGCTGCAGGCGACCTGATCGAGCCGCCACACCATCTCCACGCCCGCTTCACGATGAGGCATTTTGAGTTGGGTTTGCAGCTCCTGGCTCTTGGACGTGCCCAGGGCACAGTGATGTCTGGTGCTGAGCAAGACCTAAGTTCCAGGAGCTGAGATGGGCTGGGTCTGGACACAAGTGAAAGGGCAGGTGTGCTTTCCTGCCACTCCAGAAGATGGCAGAGAGGCGGGCTGATTTCCTGTGTGTCCTCCAGCCGCAGCCAGTGGCCCCCAGCTAAGGAGTAGGGTCCATGTCTACTTTTGACATCCAGGGAGAGTCCGGAGTCTGAGTCTTGGAGTGTTTTTGTTCCCCTGGAGGAGGAAGCTAAGGTTTGTGAGGGAAGTAGTACCACCCAAGGCACAGGGCCCTGGTTGGATTTGAACCCAGATCTGCTGGGTTCTGGAACCGTTCTGGGCCCCATCTCCTCACTGCTAAATGAAGAGATTATTCAAGATCAAAGCTTTTCCAACATTTCCTTTCAAAGCAGGCAAAGGCCTCTTTTACAGCTGAACTTTCACTTGGTGCCCAACCTATAAACCAAGATGAAAGAGACAGTTCAGAGACGAGGGTCAGCGGCCCCAGGTTCCTCCCTGGAATCCTGGGGCTGGTGGGCCTTTGGGGAAAACCCAGCCCAGACAGTGTCAAGGCCCTTGGGAAAGTGTCTGCATCTTAGTGGGGAGTCAGAAACATCGCTGAGACGGTGTGTGGAAGACAGCCGGCCCAGGGCAAGAGGGACAGAAAGCCAAAGTGAAGCGGCAAAGCAGGGGCCCAAAACTCTTCTCCTCTGCCAGCCTCCACCCTGCCCTGCATCCCCAAGCAGCCCAATGCCCTGGCCTGTGTCTCCCCCAGAGATGGCCCGGCTGTCCCCCAGCAAGGAGCACCCTCCCTCCTTAAATCTCTCTCTCTCTCTCTCTCTCTCTCTGTCTGTCGTCTCTCTCCCTTTCACACACTCACACACACACACAGAGTGTAGCACTCTATAATCGCGGCTTTGTTTCTTGTTTTCCTCAGTTAACATTGCATCTTGGCAGTTGTTCCAAATCAGTACACAGAGATGCTGGCTTTACTTCGGTGGGCGCACCGTATTGAAATAGTACTTAATTTAGAAGGCGACAGAGGCCTCCGTTCTTGGCTCCCGGACCGTTTCCAGCATTGCAGGGTCAGAGAGTGCAGATGGCTGCCCTTAGGTCCTGCATCTTGCTGTCCATTTATCACTTGAGATTCCCCTTCCTCGCTCCCTCCCGCCTCGCTCCTCCCTCTTCTCTCCCTCCTCTTTCTTTCTGTCTTTTTCGCTTATTTGCATTTTCAGATTTTATTCCATGAACATGTCCCATTTGGGTGATAATTAGAAGGATGTGTTTACAGCCCCAACATCCAGACTTGAGCCAAGTTAGATAAACAGCCCCACGCATACACACACGTAAGCAGAATTCGGAGAGAAAAGCTGCAGCCTCTGTGGCCAAGGTCTATTTGGCAGGGAGGCTGCATTTCTGAGACTCGAATGCCAAGACCCCGCCCCTGCCTGTGCCAACATGTCCTGGAGCACAGGGTCCGGGGTCTCAGCATGGCTGTGTCATGAACACTTGCACCACCCGGGCTGGACCAGGCTCTGCTCAGAACAGTGCCCACACCACCTGGGGTGTGTTTATCCCCACTTCCCAGAAGAAGAAAAGAGACCCTGAGGAGGAAGCCCTTGCCTGTCTCCTGTATGTCAACAGAGGGACCTTACCCCTCCAGCCCAGGACCAGTCCTGAGCCCTCCCTGCCTCCCTTGCAAATATCATTTTGCCCACAAGTGCCAAGGGCTCCCTCTGCACTGTACATCCCTGGCCCTCACCAAATCCTCACTCCTGCCTATGAAGCCCCTATGACCTGCCTTCCCATCTCTGGTACCCCAGGGCCTTTGCACTTGCTGTGCCCAACACTTGGATTGTTTTCCTTCCTAGCAGGCCCAGGACTAGGCTGAGGCAAGTGTGGTGCTCGGGATGAGATGTGTGGGAGGCCCCACTCCCCAGTGTCCAGCTGCCCTTGCCTTGGCCAGGCCCGAGAGCAGGTGCCCACCTCATAGACTGGCTGCCTCATGTGCCCAGCCCTGATTCCTGGGTCAAGCTCTTCCCAGAGCCCCTCTTCCCAAGGAGGTCTTGCTGACTGTCTTAGCTGATGGAGTCCTGGCCACATTGTCTTATTTTCTACACTGCCTTATTACAAAATTGTGTCCCCCCCAGCTCTGCCCAGCACATTATGGGCAGTCTGAGGGCCTGGACTGCATCTGCCTCCTTCTCGGCGCCGCCCCCCCAGCACCTGGGCCAGGGGCTGGCGCCTCTCTGCGGGGCAAAAGAATGAAGGAGCCGTTCGGTGGCAGAAGCCGGATACAAACTCAGTTTTGCCTGACCCTGAAGCCGAGGGATGGGACCAGGGCCAGGGAGTCCACTGGGGCCCCTGCCACAGCCCACCCCACCCGGAGCCCTGCACCCCAGGGATGGCTTCTTGAGGAAACCTCTGGGCAGGGAGGGGTCAGCCACACTCCCGGGGCTGCTGGGAGCCCCAGGCCTTCCGAGGGGCCAGCTGTGCCTCCCCCCATTCTGGTTTTTATTTTTAGCGTGGAGTTTTTGGGCACAGCACACTCCCCTTAGGAACAGCCAGGAGGACAAGGGAGGTGGTTTTGAAATCTGGTGGGAAAGTAGGTCAGCCGGCAGCTGGCCGTGCGCCAGACGATAAGGCCTCGGTGGAAGTTTAATAACGTGAGCGCCGTATCCATGACATAATTCATAACTGAGAGGAAACAGCAATTAAGGAGCAATTGTGCAACTCGGGACAAGCCTCCTTCACAGCTCATAAAAGCGGGAGGACGGGCCACTGAGGGCGGGCAGGCGGCCCGCGGGGGTTTGGAAGAAGTGCGTCTCTTCCCTGGGGAGTTGTGCCCCTGTCTCCACCCCAGGATGCAGGGGATCAGAGGATGCTGGAGGCAGAGCAGGCACCCACTGTGCGCCTGGTTGGGTGCAGGCCTGGGCATTTGGCTGTGGCTGGGATATGGCTGCAGCTGCATTATTTTGGTGCTGCCTTGTCAAAGCAGAAGGCCACTTTGATTATCAAGTGAAGAGTACAGAAAACATCCCTGAGCCTTCTTACATTTTGCCTCTTCCCGCCCTCCAGTTTGCTGTTTCTCCTTTATTCTTTTGTCTCTTGTTTGGTCTTTCCACAAGCACCGTTTGCTTTTATAATCAGTTACAAAACAACAACTATTATATCCTCAATGGCCCATTTTCTCTTCCTTGAGCAAGCCAGGCATGCACTCACTCCAGGACCTTTGTACTCACTGAGCCCTCTGCCTGGAGTGCTCTTCCCTGGATAGCCACATGGCTCACCCCTTGCTCCTTTAGGTCATCATTCAAGCCTCAGTTTTCCCTTAAAGTCTTGGCTGACCAACTGTTTGGAAAACAGCAAACACACCTGATGTTCTCAATCCACCTCTTCTGCTTTATTTTTATTTATAGCATAATCACCCATCCAACTTCCCTCATGCTCTCATTTTGCACTGGTTCTGGGCTGCAGCCCCAGTACTGGGACTGTGTCTGGTGCATAGTGGTGCTCAGTTAATACTGGTGAATGAATGAATGTTTGCTATTATTATCAACCGACTGGAAAGCTGACCTCTTGCTGGTGTGGTTCGGAACTGCCTGAGGGTGCCTCCCAGCCAAGGGCCTTGGATGCCGTCAGGGGAGCAGAATTAGGGGAACTGGGGCTGGCTGGGCTGGACCAGGTATTTGCACCCAGCACCAGTTGGCTCAGTCAGCACTCAGTGTAGACCTCGTGGCCGCCACCACGCCGTGCCACTGCCTTCCAGATTGCTCTGGGCCATGACAGCCGAGCTGGGAGGCCCCCGACCTCTGCCACGTGAAGCAAAGCCTGTGTGCAAAGGGACTCCTTGCAGAAGTGTTCACAGGAGCAGGCACGTGCACACTCACATGGGCACACACCCGCCCTCCCCACACACACTCACACCCACCTTGACATCTAGACGTGGGGCACACATTCACACAGTTCAGAGAACGTGCCCTTCTGTGCACACATAGACGCTGCTCACCCTCACACAGTCACACACTCCTGCACACTCAGATACATGCTCACATGCCTTCTCCACATTGCACACGCACATGCCAGGCATGCAGCTGCCCCGTGCACACCCCAGCCTCATCTCCAGCACATACCCCCGCTGCCACCTGCAGGGCACAGCCCAGGGACGGGTCCTTGGCTGCACTGAAGCATGGGGACAGATGGCCTCGGTGGTGCCAGCCCTGACCCCGTGCACCCCGGCCTCCCTGCTCTGCTCTGCTCGGTCCAGACAGCCCTGAAAGCAGTGGCTTCGTGATGCCCATGTCAGCCCTGACGGCGCTGCCTCAGGGCATGTCTGGCCGGCTGTCTTTCTTGGGCACCCGCCCACTTCCTCCCCATCTGTGGGCGGGCAGCCCTGCTGACATCAGGCGGTTTCAGGCCTGCCTGGCACTCAGAAGGAAGGAAGGAGGCAATCTGTCCCTACCATGGGGAGCCAACCGGAGGAGCCTGGGACATGCCTGGTGGCTCCCTGACCCAGGTCCCCTGCAGCTGGCTCTACTGGGACTCGGCTGCCTGTCCCTTCTCCTGGGGCATGCTGGCCTGGGCTGGGAAGCCATTCAGGAGGGATGGGACTCTGGGAAGGAGCCCTGAGGTGGCTGACACCTTCCCGGCTTCCCTGAGGATGACAGCTCAGGGTCCACGGAACAGGAGTCTGTGGCAAGCCTGCTTCTAAATGTCCCATGGATTCGTTCAATCAGCACCACACTCCTTGTGTTATCCTCTTTGTTTTACAAGTGGGGAAACTGAGGCACAGAGTGGTCAGGGCTGGTCCTAGGAGGAACTTGCTGGCCACAGAATATGCGGGACAATAACAAATATTTTTGAGCACCCAAGGAAGATACAAAGTATTTCTAAGAGCACGGTCCCCCTGGCCTCGGCAGGGCACCCCCACCCAGCCCACCCAGCCCAGCAACTGTTGAGCCCTCTGCTGTCACCACAGGCTGGGTTTGGCTCTGGGACCATGCTTTTGAGTCTCCCATGAGGCCTGCAGGACTCGAGCATGGTCACCGTTGCTCCTGTCACTGCCACTGTCCTTTGCAGGCACCGCTCACACACCACTGTCCCTGCCTTGGGGCCGGAGGAAGCAGGCTCGGGGAGGCGTGCCAGAGCTCAGACACACAGCGCCAGGTGAGACAGGGTCTTGAGAAGGGGTAAGGACCCTGAGGCCTGGCCCATGGCCCTGCCCTTGGGAGGCCAAGGTGAGCGACAACAGCTAGCACAGCAGCTTGCATGTATCGGGTGCCTCCTAAGTTCCTGGCCCGGTTCTAAGCACTCTGAATGAATCAACCCATCCAATCCTCCCAAAAGCCTGTGTCCTCTCATGTCAGTGCTGGGGAAATTGAGGCACATGGAGGCTGAGTCACATCTCCAGAGTCACACAGCTGGCGAGGGACAAAGCCAAATTTGACGCAGGAAGCCCAGCATGACTGCACTCTCTCCAAACTGGACGTTGCTGTGCCAGCAGCCCCTTCTGTTCGGCTCTTGTTCCCAGCAGGGCAGGCTCCAGGCTCGCCTGGTTGCAGGCACTGGGGCTCTGTGTCGCCCCCAGCCTGGCCAGGGCAGGAGCCAAGGGCCTGGTGTGGGCGCCGGGGCGGGAGGCCCAGGGCAGGGCTCTAGACTCAGCTTCCAGGTCCTGGCTGTGCTGCTTCCATGCCATGCGATTCAGATCAATCACATGACCACCCTGAACACCATGCCGATGATGGCGACTGCAGGAGGACTGGCTGAGCGGACTTGGAGTTGCCAACACCCGCTTCTTTCTGCACTTCGCTACAGGCCTGGACCTCCCAGGAACGCTGGGACCAGCCTCGTAGCAACTGCAGAGCAGATGCGTTTAACCCACTCCGAAGACAGAGGAGCAGGGTCTCCAGATGCCAGCTCTGCAGAAGAGCTTCCGGCTGTGCAGCCACATACCTAGGGACAGCTCAGGCGCTGGGAGGGACAGGGACTCCTCATCCTGCTCTAGGTCCCACTCTCCTTCGGGCCCTTCCCCTTGAAAACGGTGCCTCTGTCTTCCCCGGGTTCGGGATGAAGCTTCAGCACGCTTGCTGACTCTCTCTTCCTCCAGCCCTGAGTCCCTGAGTCCCTTCCATCGCCTCCACCACTCTCACAGCTGCACCCGCCTACGACACCGCCACATTGGCTAGGATGGCCACTGTGGCCTTTGCACTG